GGCACATAATTTTAAGGCCTGATGAAGGACCCAGCCCTGTGTGGGCATACAACATGAATGATCCCGCCTTGGTTCCATCACAGGCTCTCAGCAGCTCCCGCTGAACTTCCTGATCCTGGGTCCGTCCAGTCTGACCCCAGCATGTGAACCAGCCTCCTACTCCAGTGCTCCCCACCTGGGGAGGGCAATGAGAAGATAGGGCATTAGCTTTATAATTCAGTTATTAGCTGCCAAAGCCTAATTGCCCTCAGGAGTATTTTCATTTTAATAGGGGACTCTTAAAAGCAGAAAGCCTCAGAGACAGCAGGGACATCATGGAAGCAGAAGGAAAGGGAACACACGTGCGTGTGCATGCGTGCACTTGTGTGTAGCAGAGCTTGCCTCAGCAACCTCTGCCAGGATGGCCAGCAGTGAGAAAGCAGGTATTTACGTTTGCCGCTGCATGAGGCGGTCCCCAGGCCTGAAGGTGGGGCTCATTGGGCCACCAGCCTGCATGGCCTTCTGGGAGTGTTCTCAGGGAGCTGGTGCAGCAGGACCAACCATGGCCAGGAGGCAGATGGTTGAATGTCATCCTACCAGGAAAGCCAGGCCTGGGGCTGTGGCCTCCACGATCTGGGAGCTTCTTTTTAGGGGTGGGGAGAGGGATCATCCAGGGAGAGCTGGGAGCACTGGGGATTTCTCTGTCCTACAGTTGACTGGTTCTGGAAATTTTTCTGAGGCTGGGGACAAAGGACTTTGACCAAGGCCTGGGGCTTGATTTGGAATGTGAGGTATTTTTTTTTTTAAGTTTTTATTTAAATTCCAGTTAACATACAGTGTAATATTAGTTTCAGGCATACAATGTAGTGATTCAACAATTCTCTGCATTACTCAGTGCTTGTAATGATGTGTACTTTTTTTTTATTTGAGAGAAAGAGCACATGCAGTGGGGAGGGGCAGGGGAAGGAGAGAGAGTCTTTTTTTTTTTTTCAACTTGCTTTTTTAAAAAATTTTTTTATTGTTATGTTAATCACCATACATTACATCATTAGTTTTAGATGTAGTGTTCCATGATTCATTGTTTGTGCATAACGCCCAGTGCTCCACGCAGAACGTGCCCTCTTTAATACCCATCACCAGGCTAACCCATCCTCCCACCCCCCTCCCCTCTAGAACCCTCAGTTTGTTTTTCAGAGAAGAGAGAGAGTCTTAAGCAGACTTCCCACTGAGCGTGGAGCCTGACATGGGGCTCAGTCTCATGACCCTGAGATCATGACTTGAGCTAAAATCAAGAGTCGGATGCCTAACCGACTGAACCACCCAGGTGCCCCCATGATAAGTGTACTCTTAATTCCCATCACTTATTTCACCCATCCCTCCACCCAACCCCAGAACCCCCCCGCCCCCACTAACCATCAGTTTGTTCTCTATAGCTAAGAGTCTGTTTCTTGGTTTCTCTCTCTCTTTCTCCTTTCCTTTGTTTGTTTTGTTTCTTAAATTCCACATATGAGTGAGGTCATATGGTATTTGTCTTTCTCTGACTGACTTGATGTCCCAGTTTGTTTTTCCCACAACAGGTTCCATGGGGAGGATGGCGGGACAGGGGTTGGCGGTCAGTTCACCCAATGGCTGTCCTTGGATAGGCATAGAAACCCAAGGGCATGCAGGTTCATTTGTGCTGCAGATGACAGCTGGGGCCCCGGTCGGCCAGTGTGGGGTCCCAGTGGCCGTCAGCATTCTGGGTCCACCCACGTCTGAGCACCTTTCATTGTCTGGGGAAGAGTCTCAGCCAGGAGACTGGGTGTCCCAGGGGCGGTGCTTCACCCCAGTGAGGGGAACATGGTGAGGAGGCAGGGAGCCAGAGCCCACACCAGGGTCCACAACTGAATCCTGGGCCCCAGAAAACAAAGATAGCGCTCCCGGCCCCCAGAGGTCCTGACCTGTTTGGGACACGTGGTAGGGTGCCATGTTTGCCAACCATGCTTGGGCCATGGCATGTGTGCGAGTGACATTTGTGTGGCATACTAGGTACAGAGAGAGGCTGCGGGTGGCCAGAGGGACCCTGGTGGACCTCCAAGGGCTGGACAGGAGGGGCACTAGCCAGGCAGACCTGTAGCATCTCTGCAGAAAGTTAGTGCCCCAGTGGGGAGCTCAGGAGAGGAGCGGTGTTTGGGAACACAGTGCGTACGTTCCTACTTCTGCCACCCACCAGCTCTGTGCCTTGTGCCTCAGTTTCTTCATCTCTGAAATAGGGATAATATTAATATTAATACCTGCATCATAGAGTCATTATCAGGATCAAACAAGTAAGCTCATGTAAAGTGCCTAGAAGTAGGCTCGGTATGGAGTACTTAATTTGTGTCAACTATTACTAGGTATTTCATCCAATTTAAGATGTCAATGATTGTAAAAGTCACCCTGATTTCAGAGATGTTAAAAACAGAGTCTTGGAACTGATTAAATAGGGTATTATTTAGTGTTGATTGTGAGGGGATCAGGACAAAGGGAAGCCAGATCCTGCCCCCGGTGCCAGCACGCTACTAGGACATGATCTGACTTAGAGGATCTTCACATACCATGTCCTTGGGTCGGAGGCTAGATGTGGGTCCTAGATGGCAGGGACTGGGTGAGATTAATGGTGGAGGGCAGTAAGGGGTCCCAGCAGAGCTAACAGGGCCCTGCAAGCTGGGACTGGCAGAATTACTGAACACCAAGTCCTGCTGGGCTGAATCCACTGGGACTTTTGAAGACCAAACTGAGGTAGCAGATGTCCCCTCCTTTCTTGCTATGTTCCATGCAGGACTCCCTGGTTATGTTAATATCCTTGTGCTATGAAGTAAGACTAATGATACACGTCTTTTAAATTTGCTTACTATTATTAGTAACAACTTAGTCACCGCTTACCTTACAAAATCATGACACACCCCTGCATATAGACACTACATTTAAGACCAATTCCTGTAACAAGGTCATGGACCAAAGGAGTATCTGTAACTGTGGAAGTTCTAGCCATTGTGATAGGCGTATGTAAGAGAGATCATTCTGAGCGAAGATGGATTATTTGGAATGCCTCACAGAACAGCCTGTTAGATAGTCGACTTAACAGCATCCAACATTCTTTCAATAAACATTTACTGGGTGCCTACTAATGCCAAGCCCTGAGCATATCTGCAGGGACAGGGCCAACTACCATGTCAATGATCATAGCAAGGGTGGGAGAAACTCTCTTATGCCATCTTACTCAGCCAAGGAAAGCTAATAAAAGGCCCCTGTCCTGTCCCCTCATTTTTAACCTGGCTTCCCCATCTCCATATCTACTTATCTCAGCAAACGCTTGTGAGTGTCAGCCCCACTTAAATGCAAAACTGACCATATGTGTCTAGACCATATTTTTCCCTTTAATTACACACAAGATATGGTGTCAAGATCCATACTTAGCACATCCTGTTTCCAACCATTTAAAAAACTTCTTATTGTGGAAAATTTCAAATAGACACAAAAATAGAGACTAATGTAACAGAACTAGATGAATTAAAACACAAACTTTGATAATGATTGATATCTTTCAATCTTATTTTATTTTTCCTTATATGATGTATAATTCCACATGTAAATAATTCATCATCTATTTCTAGCAGATAAAGATGCTTTTTGTTTAATGTAACTCAAATAATGTCATCACTGTCAACAGAATTAACAGTAATTCTTCAATATCATCCCCATGTTCTATTTTCCCTGTTGCCTCAATTATGTAGTTTATTCAAATCAAGATCCAAATAAGGTCCATATATCACAATTGGGTTTATAGTTCTTTTAAGTATATCTTTTAATCCATAATAGTTGTCCTCCCTTTCTTTCCATACCATTTATTTGTTATGTTATGCCATTTATATACCATATCATTTGTCCTGTAGGACTTGCCACATTCTGGTTTTGTCTTACTCTATCCTCATATGTTATTTCGTTATGCTCTTATGACCCTATATTTATATCTGAGGGCTTGATTAGATTTATATTCTGTTCTTTATATGAAGAACACTTTTAGGTCATGCTGCATGCTTCCTATTGCCTCACATCAGAAGGCACTTGATATCTGGTTGTCCCACTTTGTTGATGTTAAGATTGAGGTTCTATCAGCCTGACTCATCCATGACCAAGTTCTCTATCAATATCACACCTAATGATTTTAGTAGACATTGATGATCATTACCTAGATCTATTATTTCATTATAGGTGGTGAAATGGTGACATTCTAATTCTATCATTCCTTCTTAATTTATTACTCGTGATTCCTCTCTAAAGAATTTTGTCTCATCAATAGTCTATATAGAAAAAGCAGGGTAAATTGCTTGATAATTTCCTTTCATTTATCATTTTTAAAAAGTAATAAGTAGTGGGTGCCTTAGCAGTTACATTCATATCAGTTTTCAGAATAATGGATTGTCCCATATCTGGCCATTGGATGTGTCTTCAAGTTGGCTCCTCTATCACATGATATCATTGGGAGCTTACGTGTATTCAGGCCCGACGAGAAGTCCCAGGCTGACTTTTACATTTCCTCCCATGGAGCTGACTACTTATAGCTGGATGTGGTATTTAGAGACCACAGTATGAGTGCTAGTGGTGCTCATTGCTGCGGAGTTTTATTACTGTGAAACATTTTCAGTGACAGAACCGGGACATGCATATTCTTGAAAGAAAAATAAATCTTGAATTCATACTAATATTCTTAGGCAAATTAAATTTCAGGGTTTTAATTCCACTTTAAAGTTTTATATCTCTTTACTCCAATGCAGAAAATCTTGATTCCTAATGACATTAGCTTATTTATGACTTCTTGGTGGTTTTTTTCATCCTTAGCATCTGTCTCTTACTTGGAATGTGGAATCAAAATATTATGTTTTAAGTAATTTGTTTATGTTCATTTGTTTGTTTGTTTGTTTGTTTTTAAGTAGGCTCCACGCCCAGTGTGGAGCCCAACACAGGGCTTGAACTCACGACCCTAAGATCAAGATCCAAGCTGAGATCAAGAATCAGACGCCTAACCAACTAAAACAGGTGCCCCTGTTTTAAGTAATTTGAAAAAAAATTCTTCTCTTCAAAGTTAAGCCATTGACCTGAAATATAGTTGTGTCTGCGTGTTTTAGTTTATTTTTTATTTTTAGGAATTGCTTTACTTTTCCTTTTGATATAATTTTTAAATATGTAAAACTTCTAATTTATTTATTTTTCCCATTGTAAATAGCCTCTGGCTATTATCTATTTCTTCTAACTCAGTATTGTTTCTATAGATGAAGTCTAATAAGTTCTATATGTTAGTCTTACATCCTACAAGTTTACTAAATTCTCTTATTATTTGTAATAGGTTTTTCTTGGGTTCTTTTGGGTTTCCAGATATATAATTATATCATCTCTAAGGAGAGAGAGATGGTTTTATTTTGTTTCTTCCTTTCCAATCTTATGCCTCTAATTGCTTGTCTATTCATGTTGGTTAATGCCTACAATATAGTATTAATAGTAGCAGAGACAGGAACAATACAGTGCATAGTAGTGGTGATAGAGACTGTACCCTGATTTTAGCCATTTCGTCTCTGATGTGTCCTCAAAAGTAAGAGGCTGGATGCTGATGTTTGAACTGATATGGATATATATGTATTTATGTTAAGGAAATATCCAGTTTCCTATTTTACTATGGTTTTCAACTTTCAATTTAATTGCTCAGAGCCATTTATAGTTCTTGGTTTTCATTTTGAGGAACTAGGGTTTAGGATATTTTGTTTATGTGACTCTGAGCCAGGATATGAAGGGATATCAGGGCTCTTGAGGAGCAGCACTTGCAGAATTATACAGCAGGGGCTTTTGAGGAACTAGTTCCAGTTTTCAGACGTGGGTTAGAATCTTGGCTTTGCCTGGGTATACGTATTATTTTCATATATCCAAATGATTTTGGATAGAAATACGGAGAAAACAAATTTTCACTTTTACAGTCCATTTAAGGGAGCATTTAGCATGTGCTTTTGTATTTTTCAGGAACTCAATGGACATTTCCTATATGCAAACCAGCAGGTTATTTTTGTTCTTTTATTTGTGCTTTTGACTACTCCTTGGTATTAAAGTATTTTAAATGATGGTGAACAGTCACTTCTGCAGGACAGTCTCAGAGTCAATAAACACAAGCACAATAGTCAGAATTTGTTGCTCATCTGCACTTTGAGCAGCGTTTTCTTCTTTGACAACATCTCTCCTATAGAAGGAGCTCCAGTGCTCACATGTTCCAGTAAATGCAACACTTAGCTTTGGGGCTGGCTGGACCTCAAACTATGCCTTGGACTTCTTGCTCTCAGCAAGTTGTACCCCACTAAATACCACATGGCATGACCTACTCCAGTCAACATTTTGTCCAAAGGTACCTTCCAAACAGAATTATATTAAAGGGAACACTTGTGCACTGTTGGTGAGATTGTAAATTGGTACAACCACAATAGAAAACATTGTGGAGGTTCCCCAAACAGTTAAAAATAGAATTTCCATAAGATCCAGCAATTCCACTTCTGGGTATATATTCAGAGGAAATAAAGTCACTATCTTTTGTACTTTCCTGTTCATTGCAGCATTATTCACAGTAGCCAAAATATGGAAACAACCTAAGTGTCCATCAATAGGTGAATCAATAAAGAAAATGTGATATATATATCAGTCACATATATCTGTATCTATCTATCTATCTATCTATCTATCTATCTATCTATCTATCTATCTAATCTCATACACACATGCACACACACACACACACACACTCATTGGAATATTAATCAGCCAAAAAAGAAGGAACTCCTGCCATTTGCTACAACGTGGATGAAACTGGAGGGTATTATGCTAAGTGAAATAAACCAGGGGCCCCTGGGTAGCACAGTCAGTTAAGCATCCAACTCTTGGTTTCAGCTCAGGTCATGATCTCAGGGTTGTGGGATGGAGCTCCATGTCAGGCTCCCTGCTCAGCATGGAGTCCGCTTGAGTTTCTCTCTCCCTCACCCTCTCCCTCTGCCCCTCCCTGCCCCTGCACACATGTGAACTCTCTTTCTCTGTCTCTAAAATAAATAAATAAATCTTTTTTTAAAAAAGGAATAAAAAGAAATAAGCCAGACACAGAATGACAAATAATGCATGACCTCACTTATATATGTGGAATCTAAAAAAAGTTACTATCATAGTAACAGATAACAGAATGGTGGTTACCAGGGGCTGGGAGTGGAGGAAAAGGGGAAATGTTGGTCAGAGGTGGTCAGAGGATACAATATTTTAGTTATAAGATACATTCTGGAGACCTAGTGTACAGCAAGATGACTATCGTTAATAATAATGTATTATATACTTGAAATATGCTAAAAAATAATAAGTGAAAGACATGATGAACAAAGAGCCAGAATTGTATTCCATTCTAATAAAAATACATTTTATTTGTGGATCAATTTGACGACACATGTGTGGAGGGTTTTGAGAGAAAAGACCCACATGCAAAACTCTTTTCAAATGTTATAGAGCACAGTTACGATTATAATGTGTCTGTCAACAACTGTAAAATATAGCAGGGGCTACAAGGCACAAAAGACTCTAACTTGATGCCTGATGTGGTCAGAATGGTGGGAGTATTCTTGGTGGACATTTGAAGTGGGTCTTAGTCTAAATAATCAGTCTGGGAAGTATTTGGGCTTCCTAGAAATGAAATAGAACCATTCACCCCATACTTATGAATTATTTATGCCAAAAAATGCAGGCTTGTACACTCTAATCATAAACATTAGATTTTCAGCCATACCTTACTCCTACAGGTATTGTAATTTTAGATACCCCAAAGGGACCAAAATCTATGAAGGACCGAGTTTGTCTGTGACCCATGTACCCAAATAGATACTAGGAGACATGGATGCTGGAATGACAAAGTTGACCAATTCATGCAGACTGCATCCCAAATCTCCCTTCCTCAGAGGCAGGCACAGGGATCTATTATGTTCTTAAATGGTGGGACTGAAGGGAAGAATCAAAACCTCCCCTCCCAGATACTCTTTAGGACAAATTGACTCTTTGAACTGAAAGAGCAAGAGCAACCTCCTTCTTTGGCCTGTGTTTTGTTTCTGTATCCCCATCTTGATTCTGGGTTCTGTGGGGCTGAATCTGCGGTGCATTCACTTCTGTGCCACCCCCTCTCCTATCCCACTGTGGGTTCAGCCCAGCACCCATCTGAACAGAGTGGGTGTTCAGCCACTGCCTGTTAGGTGCAAAAGGAAGGAATTAATCATGATAGCTAGCATATGTAGTATGCTCCATGCCAAGCACTTTACAATAATCCTAAAAAGTAGGTGCTATTATTATGAGGTCCATTTTGCAGATGAGGGAAGTGAAGCACAGAGAGGTCAAGAAACTTGTCTGCAGTCACACAGCCCATAAGTGGCAAAGCCAGGATTTGAACTGCACAGTCTGATTCAATGAGCCATATTCTTAAACACATCACTACCCCTAATCTCTGCATATTATGGTTTGGTAAAAGAGATGGAGCAGATGGAGCCCTTGAGTGGCCCAGAGTGCCTCATAGTGAGTGACCAGTGCTCAAGGAACATTTTAGGTGTTAAAGGAAGTGGTTGGGTCATTTGTCAAAATGAAAAGCTGAAGAGGACACTAATGTGGGTCCAGGAATGAGCCCAAAGCTCTAACTTCAAAACTTGGGCTCAAAAACCAGCTTCTGGTTGACCTTTCAGATAATAAAGACAACTGGCAAATGGGCATGAAGGAGACATTCTAGAAATTAATTGCCCTTAGGATTCTCATGAGGAAATGAGGTAAGCAGTTAATTTGGGAACAAAGAGTTATTTTCAGTAGGTATTTACTGTGGGTCCCAAGGTGCCTAAGGCCACTGGGGACTTGGGAGGTCCATGCACCATGGCTCTTGGCTTTGAGAAGCTCCTAGTGAAATGGGAAGATGCAGGGCGATCTTCTATGCAGATGCCAACTTAGAGTGCCTCATTGGTTGGCCATGGGCCATCAGTCCCAGCCCGTGGAGGGCCGCTTGGTGTCCCCCATTGTGTGTTGGGCCAGCTATGATCTGGAGAGGAGCATTCTGGTGAGATGGTTTCTGGCTGGACGAGCCAAATCCCCTTCTGGCTGAGGGACCAGCCCCTGGCTTTGTGTTTCTCTGGCACATCGTGAGTGCCGCAGTGAAGGGCACCAGAGGCGAGCTGAGCAGCAGGAACAATCGTTCCTTATGGGGAGCTGCCACCTCCAGTGCCCCATGCTCCTGTTGAGCTACGAGCAAGTTCCAAGTATTTAAGTCGATTGGGTTCTAATGCCCTTGTGACCATCAGTTTGGACACCTTCTGCTGAGAGCTCCTGGCAGGTCCTATCACTGTCTTAGCAGGCAGACTAGCACTGGAGGGTGCCCCTGCCCTGGTGTCCACTCTGCCTGGAGGGGACTGATGAGGGAGGCGACTCAACACGTTCAGAAGTTCTTGTATATGGGGAGCTGATTACTCTCTTTTGAAATCGGTGTTTGCTACCAATCACAACTTTCACGGTGCTAAGCCTTTCATGGCAACTGAAAGCCTATTTGGAAATAAAATGTCACTTTCCTTTTGCATTTCTACTGTAATGACACAGGAAACTTGTTTTTCCTTTTTAACTTAACATGATAACTGGGAATGACTAAAAGAGTGTAGACGTATGTGCAGCATGTGTGGGTAAGCAGGTGCTCTATAGGGTGTCCCTTTATAGGGTGCCTCTGTGGCCCCAACCTTCAGGAGTTTCCAGCCCAATTGCATGAAATAGAGCCCCAGTTTTGGCGGAGAATCCAAATCACATGCCACAACCCCCAGAGAACCAAAGATCTTATAGTCAGGATCATCAGAGACCATCTGGCCCAGCACTGATCTAGATTATGCGGGTTCCTGGTCAAGGTGGAAGTTACAAACACACAGTCAATTTATACGTATGTCATTCATCATGCTAGGAACTGACATACCTTATGCATAGGGCGGAGCCTGTCTCATTGAGCTGGGATGGGGCTGACATTCAGTGCCTACCATGCAACAGATTTACAACCGTAGTTTACAACAGTGATAACATTCGCACACACCTCTTCAAGGCTTTGTGTTTCCTAAAGGCATTTTCTGAGCCTTATCCCCTGTGGGCTGGCTCCTGCAGGGGAATGCTTCCCAGACATGGAAATATACCTCTCATCAGAATCAGGAGGCTGCTTGTAGGGCAGGCGATGTGCAGGGGCCAAGAGTGAGGAATGGAGACTCATCTGTCCATTGCCAGAGGAAAAGGACGGAGCTTAGACCAGTGCCTCTCTCAGACAAGGACTCGATGCAGGGGAACCAGATCTTGTTCGCGTCATCACCAAGATTCTTCCAGTGAAACTCTGTACTTCACATCTCTTGAGACTCTTTGTTTTATTTTCCTTTTAACTTCAATGTGGAACCAAAGAGAGCCAATATCGATTAAATGTTAGTTCAGTAAGTGTTTATTGCACACCACTTATTTTAAGGTTGTCCCTGCATGGGCCCACAGGACACAATGTGTGTCTGAATTCCTCCCTGCCTGGAGCTTTTCTCAATGCAGGGTTGCCAGGAAAGAGGGGGCAGAGATTGTGGACAACAGCAGAAGTAGGCACAGCTGAGGGGTGCCTTAACCCAGCCAGGTGCCCTCACCTGAGCCTAGTTGTAAAGGCCAAGTAGGGGTTAACCAGGTGTTGGAGAAAGAAGAGAGATGAGGACATTAAGGGAACCCAGAGGCTCCGTACACGTGGAAAGCGAGCCTGACGGAAGCTGGTAAAGGGATACTAATCTTGGATGCTCTTTGTTTCGTCCAAGGAAGATAGGATGATTTTGCCCTGGGATCGTGAGCAGTGTCAGAAGCTTAGGAGGCTTGGCAGGAGTCCTCTCCCTAGGATGGCTATTTCTAACTCTGGCCCCACTTTGTTTCTGTGGCTCGGCTGATGTCAACAGCAAGGCAACAAATTACGCTGGCAAGGTGCTGGGCTTTCTTGCAAGCTGCAGTCCTGTTGGATGTTCTATAGCTCTGTCCACATAGCTTACACTCCAGCAAAGCCCATGGGAGTGTGAATGGAAAAGTACCTGTCAATATTAAGGCTGGTTCCAAAGATACATTATTGGTTTTTTTTGCATAATACCCTCTGGGGACATCGAGGCCTTATTAATAACTAAACATCTGCCACAACTGTAATTATTTTTCTTGTGCCAGGATTGTGCTTCTACCATCGTCCTGTTTAAACACAGAAGGGAGGGTGTGAATTATTTAGGCAACTGACTTTGAGTAAATCACCAACCAGCACTGTGCAGGCAGTAAGTTTCTGTCAACTCCTTGCAGAGTGTGTGTCTCCGTTGAAGTTCCCTTGATGTGCTCACAAATCTCTCTGAAAACATCACTCTGGACCTCCGATGTGGCTGCCCGAGCAACCTGGAGAGAGGAAGCCTGAGAATGAGGAAAAGGGGGGCAGAGGAGCCCCCGGAGGGGGAGAGGAGCCACCGAGGAGCCAGGCCCCCGACTTCCCCACTTGGCAAGTCTTCTCCCCCCAAACCCCCGGGAGAAAGCGCTTTCTCAAGTGTTTGCTCAGGACTTGATTGTTTTCAGCCCTCAGGTAGGGGGTGGTGCGGGGGCTGGGAGCCTTTGCTGCTGAGTGTCCGAGTGTGGGGGGCAGGGAGAGAGGAGGCCCTCTGGACAGGACACCTGGGAGGGGTCCTGGGAGGATGGGTGTCCCAGCTGGGTACAGAGATTATACTGTACCTCTTGAACCTGACAGGTTTCCATTGACTGTATCTGGGATGTGTGGATGGGGCAAGGGGATGAACACTGACCTTATCAGGGTCTGATTAGGTTAGGGGGTGCTTGTTAGGAAAAACAGCAACCGATATCATTTATAGATTGCGTACCATGTGGCAGCATGGGAGGAGAAGCTTGGCAAAGATAATCTCAATGAATCTTCATGATAACTCCAGGGGAGGGTTATTAACCCCGTTTTTACAGGAGAAAAGTAAGACAGGCATTCAACAACTTGCTCCAGATGGCACAGGCAAAGGTAAACCCAGGACTCCCACCCAAATGTCTCTGAATCCAAAACTTACATTTGTAACCACTGGCCTACCTGCCTCTCCCCACTTACAGGTGAGGGGGTCAGCTCAAGGGGAGGGACTTTGTGCGCTCCAAGCCACAGGCTTCCTGGGTTCCATTCTGTTCTCTTTCTTTTCCTCGGAGACATTCAAGGATGTAAAAACTCAAGAGGAATTTCAACTCTAGGTGGTTTTGTAGGGAGGGGAATTTTGATCTATGTGATGCTGGTGTTGATGAGTTGGTCTGTGGTGAGTCATATAATTGGATGTGTTCTGAAATGGTCTCCCTAAGGCTGTTTGGAATGGGCTCTCCAGCCGTCTCTGCCACCAGCTGCCAGGAGTGGCCAAAAGGGTCTATGGCTGAGTTTATGGTTGGGCTGCAGGGGATAAAAAGGAAGTGGGAATATTTTGGGTGACTACAGCTCCTGATTTTCAGTAATTTCTCCCAGGCGCTGGGGGCTAGACTGCAGGGCCCAGCACAGAATGCTATAAAACTCTATCTAGAACCTTCTCCAACACAACTCATTGTTTGGGAAATCAAAGCTGGGAGTTGACAAGACCCTTGGCCAAGGGCATGGTATGCTGAAGGGCAGGCTTGGAGGGTTGGCTAAGGAGGGTTGGCCAGAGGTGGGAGGATGACCTGGGCTGGGCCTCCCCATCCCAGCTCACCCCTTCCAGGAGAGGAGCCACAAGAGGAGGAATGGTCCAGTCCAAGGGTGAATTTTCTGGTTGGCCTTTGCTCAGACTGGGATAAGTGATAAGATCCTGGGTGCTTGCCCTGAGAAAGTGGGGGCAGGGGCATGTTGAGGGAAGGAGGTCAGGACTGGAACAGAGAACCATTTCTGCATGTCCTGTGTGGGCTGTGGCAAATGGCAAATGTGGCTGATACTACAGAGGAAAAGGACAGTTGTCTACCCTACTAGATATGAAGATATCATACAGGAAACAGCAAAGAAGTCTGATGGAGTCAGACCATTTTCGCTCAACATATTCCCACATAAAAAATATTTCCTCATTTGTTCCTGTGGCTTTAGGATTTAGAATTTTTTGGCCAGAATTTTGATGGGCATGAATTAGACAGTTTAGTTTCATTTGTCTCCAGGGGTAGTGGTAGCCCAAGTGGAACGAACCTGCTTCTCCCATGCCATCTCCTTGGGGGTTGGCATTAATTCTTTTTGGACCCCAGGCTGAGGGTCTCTATGGCTCCAGGATTGTTCCCATCACGCATTCACACCCAGGCCCACCACAAACACACATTTGCTTACTCTTTCCTTGGGGGCACACCTACACATTTCTCAAAGATTTCCTTGTGCAATGGGCAGAGCAAGATAGTTAAAAAGAAGAAGGATGAGATGGGGCTATGGGAGTGGGTTCCATTGTCAAGGTCTCAGCACAAAGGTTGGGCATGGAGGGGAAGGGAACATGGCCCACTGGAACATGTTCTCACATCAGTCCTCAGCAGTGAATACTTGCAGAGCACATTGTCCTTTTTTCCTCAGATAGGAACATCCTCCAGAGAGTACAGTATTGGGGCTAGCTTACAGAGTATCAGGGGCCTTCTCAGACCCTGAAGCATGCTGGGTGGTGGCCTATGATTATATCTGATACAGGCAGAGTAGGGCAAAATTATAAAGTAGGGAGGCATCTCCTTGATGTGTCCCATCTACCTACCCCAGGTCATTCTCACACCTCCTGGTACCATTTTGGTTGCAAGTAACAGAAATCAGGTAGCGCTCTCCTAAATGAAAAGAGGCACATGTATGGAAGACTTCAGGCAGGGGTTGGGGGTGGAGGGGTTGCCTCATAGAATCCAAGGCCTCAGAGGTGGCTGGAATGAGGGCCTAATGTGATACAGAAAACCCGAGAAAGCTGCTTCTCTCTGCCTGTCTACATCTCCAGTTTCTCTGTCCATATGAAAACTATCCTTGCCAGATAGCTGCCAATTTGGCAGCCAGCCTCAGTTGAGAGTCAGTATGGTCTCAATTCTAATCTCACTGGACATAGGCTCATTGCTGTCCACTCCTGATCAAATCAACAGTCCAGGGGAGGAGAGGCAGAGGGTATGAACACGGCTGCTTCCACTATAAATACATGGATGGAAGAACAAGGCAATGACCAGAGAAGTATATACCTTGTCAACCCAGTGCCTTGAGATATTGGTTTTTGTATCCCATTCTCGAAGTTGGCTGGCTATCCATTAAATGCTGGTAAGGTGCTTGCTATTAATGCTCTAAGCTAGAGCATTTAAAAGAAGGTGGTCCCCAGAGGAGAGAACTCTCACTGATGGAACAAAAGCAATGAGGTAGATAAAGCTGGCTTGGGGCACTAAGTGCAGTGTGGAAAGACATCCTATGTAGATGGCAGGGACTGGGGAAGTAGGGTACCCCCTCTTTACTCCCCCAGTCTTTCTCCCAGATCGCCTCCTGAAATTTACAAAAGAATTCCACAGACTATCTATTCCTGTCTTTGTCAAGGTGTGGGTAGACCTTCTCTTGACACACCTGAAGGAGATGACCCATAGATGCGGACGTCCTTCTCTTCTACTTCATTTCTTTGAGTCTTGCAAGGGTACAAGTCATGAAGACCTGGCTTGTCTCTCCTCAGTCTGGAAGTCTGAGGAGATGTTCTTCCCCTTTCGTCCAGACTATGGGATCTGGGTCTTTGGGCCAGGTCTAGAGCTGACTCGTGGATAGTCAGTAGGCTCAGAAGGCCAGCTGGAAGAGAGTCCCCAGGAACAGAGGGATGCCCAGGTGACTTCAACAGTGACAGCTAAGTAAACAGCCCTACCGCTGTGGTGCTGTCCCCATCCAATCCGAAGGAAGCTTTTCTAATACAGGGAGAAATGGATGTGCACTCTTGATATATGAACCAAAAATAGCCATGTTCCAAACAAAGTGGTTTTAGTATTTTGAAATGAAAACGTGTAGACAAAGCAAGGATTCAGAATGCATGACTCATTAAATTGCTGACTCTGAAAGCAATGGAAATTCAAAGGGAATTTTTCTTTCCCTATTTCTCCCTCCCACCCTTGCTTTGAATAGCTTATAAAAAGAGTCTCTACATAAACAGGACCCATAAACTCCTCAATGATTTAAGGTCCTGCACAGTGAGAGGCAGAAGGAACTCAACCTCTGTTGCCTGGTTACTAAGCTGGCCTCCCTAGCTGGGCTGGAATTGACCAGAGGCCCCCCACTCCCCCAGCCTGCCCATCCTCATTTTCCTCCTCATCCTCTCTGCCCTGTAACAGGTGTCCAGGGAATTCCATAGCCCTTCTATGGCCACTGCTTCTCCCTCTCCTGGGTTCCAGACTCTGCTGGATCTCAACGGCACTCAACTCCTCAGCCCTAACAAGAATGCCTCATCACCAGCAATAGCTCTAGGGGTGTCTTAGGGGAGAGTGCATAGCATATGGTACCCTAATGGGATGCAGCTGTGGTACCTCTATCAACTCACTGGATGGTCTTGGGCTCATTGTGGGGTTGGGAAGGGTTGAGCCTCATCAGTTGTGTTCAGTTTTTTTGCTCACAAAAACCTTTCTAAAATAAGTCTTATGGGGAATCTCGGTACTTAAAACAGAGAAGAGGACCCATTCTCATTGCAGCAAGGTGTGTGTGTGTGTGTGTGTGTGTGTGCAAGCACACACTTGGGAGAATGGGGAGGTCCTCCAGGACCCCTGAGATGAACAGGGATGTGTTACCCCTGAAGAGGCTGTTGGGAGACCTCCATATCACAAACCCTTAAGAGTTACGTAAAAATCTCACCTCCAATCACTCCTAGTTGCCATCACCTGCTTTACTTCTGATCGTCACCATGCTTCTTGAATACCTTAGCAGCTTGTTAGCAGCTTGTTGAGTCTCATATCTGTCCTGAGTCCTGATGTCATATGAGGAAACTAAGATGACCCTTGGATTACCAGTCAACATTTTCACCTCGTGTTGCCTCAACTTCAACTCCAGTGACTTTCCTCCTCTCAGCCTTCACTCCCATGGCCTCAGCCATCATCTTGTCACCTTCAGGAACACCTCACCTCTGAGAGCTCACATGGAGTGCTCCTCTCTTCGACAACCTGCTTTATAGCCGTTTGCTACTGCTGTTCCTACTTCAGGATGTGGAGCACTCTGAGAGAAAATCCTCCATGGATATGGGGCCTGGGTGGGTGACCTTACACACTCACAACCTTCAAACCCAGTGGGTCCTTGTGTGGCTCAGGGGTTCTTTTAGTGGTCAGGTCCCCTCCCCATTCTCCACCATGACTGTTTCAACCCCTATCCACTCTTCTAAAAATAATGTCACTTCCTCCTTCACAAATAAAACAAAGCTCCCAGGAAGAAACTTCTTCAACCTCCTGCCCACTCTTCTGTCACCTTTTCTGCATTCATGTTCATTTTCCCCCTCCCTGCCCATCATAGTGGAAGAGGGGTCCCTCTACCAGTCTAAGGACCACCTGCCA